TGCTGCTTGACTGGCCACCACTGTTTCAGTTTTTAGGCTCCTTGTGGGTCCTTGGATGGCTAGTCCCACTACGCCCCCAGCTTCATCTCCCACCGCCCCCCCCCACTCACACCCCCAGCCCAGTGCATCCCATGAGCTTTACCGTTCCCCACTTGTCCCTTGCTCCTGTGGGACCCCACACTCTCCACCCATCCCTCGGCAACCTTCACAGTGACCACCCCAGCCAGAAGAGAGTTCCCCTCAGTGGTCTTGGGAGCACTAGGACCAACCTCATACTTTTGCTACCAAGTGGCCTCCTTTACATGTTGTCGTTCCTGACTGCACCTCGTTTCCTCACGGTGCCTTAAAGGCAGGCGTCTCTTCCCCCAAAGCTCAGGTAGAGGCTCTAGTGCAGGAAGCTGGCTCAAAAATGCATGTTAAATGGATGCATCCAGGGAGGTCTCTCTGCCAGCAAAGATGTTAGGCCTCTTCTGAGCAATGAACAAAAGATCCCAAGTGGAAAGGACACAGTCCCCATCTGACAGGCTGAGTCACCGTCTGCTAGCAAAGAAAAATATACTCATAAATAATCACTGTAAATTATCAAATGAATGAAAACAAGTAATCAAGTTATGAATATCCCAGGATTTCAAATATGCAACACTGTTTTATATATATATGATTTTTATGACCGTCAAATATATATGAGATATATATGACATCAAAATGTTAATAGTCATTTAAAAAATTCTGGGTACTATTTTTCAAAATTCCTACTTTTGTAATTGAAATGATGGTATTGGAAAAGACAACTCAGGTAGCTATAGATGTCTGTGTGCTGGGGGAGCCTCACACGCTCCCGTAAGACCGACATCTCTGGCAGGTCTCACTTCCTTCTTGGGGTCCCCGCTGCAGCAGCCTGGCTTAGGCAGGCGTGTGTGCAGTGCCCCCCAGCTCCTCTCCTCTCCGCAGTGCAGATGGGGAGTTTGCAGTGACCCACATGACCAAGGCCCACCTCTTCTCCACGGGCACTGTGCACTGGGTGCCCCCGGCCATCTACAAGAGCTCCTGCAGTATCGACGTCACGTTCTTCCCCTTCGACCAGCAGAACTGCAAGATGAAGTTTGGCTCCTGGACCTACGACAAGGCCAAGATCGACCTGGAGCCGATGGAGCGGACGGTGGACCTGAAGGACTACTGGGAGAGCGGCGAGTGGGCCATCGTCACTGCCACAGGCACCTACAACTCCAAGAAGTACGACTGCTGCGCCGAGATCTACCCCGACATGACCTTCGCCTTCGTCATCCGGCGGCTGCCGCTCTTCTACACCATCAACCTCCTGCTCCCCTGCCTGCTCATCTCCTGCCTCACCGTCCTGGTCTTCCACCTGCCCTCGGACTGCGGCGAGAAGATCACACTGTGCATCTCGGTGCTGCTGTCGCTCACCGTCTTCCTGCTGCTCATCACCGAGATCATCCCGTCCACCTCCCTGGTCATCCCGCTCATCGGCGAGTACCTGCTCTTCACCATGATCTTCGTCACGCTCTCCATCGTCATCACCGTCTTTGTGCTCAACGTGCACCACCGCTCCCCGCGCACACACACCATGCCCTCCTGGGTGCGGGGGCTCCTCCTGGGCTGCTTGCCCCGGTGGCTTCTGATGAGCCGGCCCCCAGCCCCTGTGCAGCCCCGCGACCCCCCGGGCCTGAAGCTCGTCCCTTCTTATCACTGGCTGGAGACCAGAGTGGATGCAGAGGAGAGGGAGGCGGCCGAGGACACGTGGGTGTGTGCAGGGCGTCCAGCCCCCTGTATGGGTGTGCCCTACGGCCGCTGCAGCCTGCACTCCAGGGCCTCGGCTCCCAAGGCGGAGGCTGCGTGGCAGGAGAGGGAGGTCCTGCTGTCGCCCCGCATGCAGAAGGCGCTGGAGGGTGTGCACTATATTGCTGATCACCTGCGGTCTGAGGATGCTGACTCCTCGGTGCGTTGGGAATGGGTGAGGGGCCCCTCCTTGGGTGACTCGCCAGCTCATCAGGGAACCATCTCACCCCAGGCTGTTAGCTCAGGCCAATGTAGTCCCCTCCCTTGGAGACCCTTGTCCCTCGGTCATGGTCCAGGATGTCTAACTGGCAGCTCTTAGACATTTGTATAGCAGGTGGCAGAATACATGCCTTGGATGTCAAGAGTGCCCAGCTCAGGCCTAACTGGGGGAGGGCGAGCCCGAGATGCAGGGTCTCAGAGGCTGAACTTCCCAGCCATTCCCAGGCCAGCCACTTCTCACCGTTACCCCATAGGTGGCGGGAGTGGGGAAGCGGAGGGAATGTTTCAGGAGGGACCAAGTAGATAAGCCCGGTGTGTCCTGGGCCTTCCTCTTTTGTCCTGGAGGCCTCCTTGTTGGTGGGCTCTGGTTGTACCAGGTGGGTTCCTCCCCTGTCCTTACGGCAGATGTCCAGAAGTGTCAGGTGAGCAGGTCCCTGCCCTACATCACAGAATTATTCTTATCAACATAGGGAAGGATGAAAGTCTGGGAGCTTGTTACTGGGTGGCTTTGTTGAGAAGATAAGAAAATTAATCAGTATCTAATTGGGGAGCAGCTAGGTGTCCAGAGCCCCCTGCCTGGGCTCTGAACCTAAATTCCACAAAGCCCCTGCCCTATCCCCAACCTGCTCTGGGCCACCCCTCCCCTCACCCACGTCCCTCTGTCCGGTCCTGCAGGTGGCGGGAGGCACGTGGGGATGGCCGAGCTCCCACCACATTGTAACTGCTGGGTGTTGCATTCACATCATCGCAGAGGTGGGCCCCAGGTGGTTCTCCTGCCTCTGTGTTCCTCCAGCCTCCTTTACCTGGACCTGAGTGCACATGGGAAGGCCCCGGGCCTTGTGGAGGGTGCAGGATAAGACAGGAATCATGAGGGGACGTTGTCGAACCTTGGGATAACCCTGTTTCTCCCCCCACCCCACCCCCTCCTGCACTGGCTTTCCCTTCCCAAGGTCTCAGTGGGGCTGTCACCACTGCCCTCAGTGGCCATCCTTAAGGGGGCACTGGCCTCTGTCACTGAGAGCCCGTCTGCACCTGCAGGTGAAGGAGGACTGGAAGTATGTCGCCATGGTCATCGACAGGATCTTCCTCTGGCTCTTTATTGTCATCTGCTTCCTGGGCACCATCGGACTCTTCCTCCCTCCGTTCCTGGCTGGAATGATCTAACATCCCCTGTGCTGGCTCCAGGGTGGCCCTGCTGACCATCTTCTGACCTCTAGAGTACCCTTTGTGGTCAACACCATCTGTCTGCAGGTGCCTCTCTGTGAAGTCCCTAAAGTGGCCCAGTCATTGAAGATCGGAACCTTGACATTATTGTACCAAGTGCTGAGGATCTGCTGGGCACAGAGCCCTGTCCTGGATGCTGAGGAGCTAGAATAGATGAGGGACTTTGTTCTGCAGAAGTGCAATATGGTGGTGACAACGTGAGGCAGAATGAGCTTCTCCTGGAGGAGCAAGGCAGCCCCTAAGTGACAAGAGGGTCACTCAGGGGGACCTAGGGGTGGGGGTGGGAGCAGGCTGAAGAGGAACAGAATCAGACCTCAAGAGAGGGCTGGGGAGGACTATGAACAATGTTCTGGAATCAGGAATGAGCCCAAAGTGTCAGGGACAGCAGCCAGATTGAGGTGGGGTCCCGTGTGGGGAGCCGCGGGAAGGGCTGGAGAGGCAGGTTGGGTGTCCCTAAGCCAGGCTGAGACTAAGCTCAGAGTCCACCTGCGTCCACTGGGTGTGAGCTGTGTGGTGCACAGAGTGACAGGGGAGGAAGGGCATGGGCTGGGGGCAGGAGCAGGTGGATCCTCCAGTCTGAGGAAGGCAGGCTGGCAGGATGCAGGGAGCCGGGCTGTTCCACAGCCCCGGAGGCACCTTCCAGCCGCACAGGCTCCTCCTCCACCTCAGCGCTCCCCCTTCCCTGCTGCAATGCAGCTCAGCACTGGCTAGCAGAGTGGAGAGCCACTGCATGGAGGGCCACCTCTGTCCCTAAACATACAGTGGATGAGCTAGAAAGAGAATCCTGAGCCGTCTTGACCCAACTCAAACTCGCAGCTTATTTGGCCCATCCTCCCTCCCCCCTCCGCAGGGCCCCCTGGTCCCTGGTGTTTAAAATCTTTGCTTCAGGCTCCTTCACTCCTAACTCCTCAAGGGCAGGACCTGTGCCTGTTGGACCCTCCGCCCCCGGCACCTAGTGTGGCGCTGGCTGAGTGGCAGTCAGCGCCCAGGACATCTGTCCTGCATGGCTAAGCGAGCTGACTGCTTTGGACCTGGAGGCTGCTGTGTCAATGCCAAAGCTGCAGGACTGTCCCCTTCCAGCCCACCCTCGCAGTCCTTCCCGGAGCCCACGGTGTGTCCTGCCCACTCTGAACCACTCTGCCTGTTCCTGCACCTTGGAATGGACACTCCAGGGCCCCAGCTCCCTGTGGGGTATCGGATGGAGCTCCTGCTCCCGGGATCAGGCCCCCCGAGCTCAGGGGGAACCTCCGCAGCTAACAGATGCAGGCACGGGGCTCTGAAGACTCCGGGAAGGAAGCCAAGCAGGGCAAGCTTCCCATTTCCCTTTGGTCTTTGGGGTCCCCTCCTTCCAAACTCCCCCCGCCTCTCCCTGACAAACCCAGGGAAACCTGCCTGCCCAGGCCCATCTCCTCATTTCTCTGTCGATGCCCCACTGAGGGGCCCATCCTGGCCTCTGGCTGCTCCCCATCCTGGGCCTGCAGCGCTGGCCTCCCCCACCTCCCCCAGCTCTCATGAGGCCTCAGGGCCTCCGGGCCAGACCCCCAGACTTGGCCTCCAGTGCAGTGACGCTCATGCACGCTGTTCATGTCTCCCAGCCATCTTGCAGGTGTCCGCCACTGCCCGCGCACAGCGGCACACGCCCAGCCCCACTGCCCGGGGTCACCCGCGCCCCTCCATGGCACAGTCGGTTCCTTCGGCCGTGGCTCAAGGTCGCATTTTCCCCAAAGAACAGATGGAACAAACAAAGCAATCAAACAAGCCACAAAGCAAATGGTACGGTTTTAATTCAACCACAGGTCAAATAGAAAGAGGGTAAAAGAGTGTTCTACACAAACACGCGAGAAAGGAAGGCAGTGGGTGAGAAAAGGGGCAGAAAAAGGAGGAAAGAAAAGAGGGGGAGAAGGAGGAGGGGAGTAGAGGAGAGAGGCAGGGGCAGGAGGACAGCAGGTCGTGGTCCAAAGTCCCGGTGGGCCTCGTCTCTCTGCTTCGTCCCCTGACGCTTGGTGTATTGACAACACACCGTCCTGCACCCAGACTCCCAATTAGCTTGTTCCTGGACTACGTCCCAGGTCCCCTCAGGTGCCCCTCGAGGACACACGCTGTCAGTCCAGACCAAACTCACATTAAATAAATTCCAATATACACTGTACAAGAAATCCAGGCCCACTCGCACCTCACCCGCTGCCTGACCCCCAAAATAAAGCCCCTCTCGGCTCCTCTGTGCATCAGGGACCTTCGAGAGCCAAAAGGGTAAGAAGGAATAGTTTGTTCCCAAAGCGGCCTACCATGTCCATGCACAAAGCCAACTTGGCCACGAGGGGCACCACTGTGACTCCAACGAGGCCCCTGTACCCAGGCCCAGGAGGAGAGGGCATGGCCACATTGCAGTAGTGCCCCCTCCAAGCCATCTTCATCACCCCCATCCTGAGTCCAGAGTCCAGAGTCCCCTCTGTCCAGCTGCAGCTGGAGCAGCACAGTCTGGGGTAGTGGTGGGGAGAGGGGTCGTGCAAAGTGGCAGGGGGAGGGGCTCCCCTCGGCCTCCCCCTGAAGGCCCACATGACCACGGGCAGGGCAGGGGAGGACCGGGGCAGGTGGGCAGGACGCAGGCAGGTCTCCCCACCCTCCGTCACTCTGCAGGTGGGTGGGCAAGGTTGGCCAGGACCTTGGCCTGGTCCACGGCGTCGAGCAGGTTCTTGGCGTCCACGGCCAGGGTGTGGGAGGCGGTCAGCATCTGCCGCTTGCACTCCTCGCTCAGGGAGGTCACGGCGTTCTGCTGGGCCAGCCGCATCTTGTTGATGAGCTCCGCCAGGTCTTTGTTGAGCAGTTTCTGGGTCCCCTCAATCTGCAGGAAGAGCACACGGGAGAGGTCGGGAGCCTGGAGGATGGGGACGCCTCACAGGTGTCCTCCTTGGGTGCTGGCTGAGGCAGCAGGAACCTCCCTGGGCATGAATCAGACCCAGGCCCAGGCTGAATCTAAGGCCTGTGCAGGCTGGAGCTGGGTCTGCAAGGGCTGACATCACAGACCTCCCAGACCCCAGCCCACCCCGTGCCAGCCCTGCCTGACCCAGCTGGACAGCCCCTCCGTTCATGGCAACGTCCCCTCACACTGGCCGGATGTTGCAGTGAGTGACTGGGGCTCAAGGACATTTACCCAGGTGTTAGCTGTCTACTGTCAAGTCAAGAAATTGGGCTGTTTTGCTGCCTAGCACATTGTTGAGTACAGAGTTAACGCTCAAGAGGCATTTGTCAAATGAAAGAATGAATGAGTAAGTGAGTGAATTATCATCCTGAGGGCAAGGAGCCCTCACATCAGGCGACAAACATGGCTTTATAATCTGGGGACAGTGGTGGGAGGCCTTGGTCATTTGTGCCACTTGCTGACCTCTGGGCAGTGAGTGGATCAAAGGGTCCTGTTGGGGGTCTGTGACTGGTTTCCAGACAGACAACCGACTAATGTCCCATGGCAATGTGTCAGTCTCCTGTGGCTTTGGTAACACATGACCACAAACATAGTGGCTTAAAGCTACACAGATTTATTCTTACAGTTCTGGTGGTCAGAAATCTGAAGCGGGTCCCACTGGCCTAAAGTCAGGGTGTCAGCAGGGCTGGTTCCTTCTGGAGGCTTCAGGGGAGACTCTGTTCCTGGCCTTTCCCAGCCTTGAGGGGTTGCCTAGGTGGTTCCTCAGTTGGGGGCCCAATTTCATCCTTCCAACCTCTGCTGTCCTCTTTCTCTGACTCTGACCCTCCTGCCTCCCTCTTATAAGGACAGTGTGACTACACTGGGTGCACTCTGAGGATCTAGCATGATCTCCCCATCTCAGGATCCTTAACTCCACCTCATCTGCAAAGTCCCTTTTGCCACGTGGCGTGACATGCTCACGGGTTCCGGGGTTAGGATGTGGACATCTTTAGGGGAATTTCTCTCCCTACAACAGACACCATCTCAGTGTAGAGCACCAAGACTTCTGTTTTGGTTTTTTTTGCTTCTTATTTAAATAAATTAGATTAAATGATCAATTAAAGAAACTTTAAATGCTATTTCAATGACACACTTGCCTTAACCTTAGTACAGATGGTGACTAGAGAAAGGAGAAAAAAGGAAGTCACGTCTCCTTGGCATTTCCTCACTCAACAAGGATTCACTCCAATTGTCTGAGACCTGATCTAGGAAATTTATCCTAGAGGCTGGCTGGGTCCCTGGGGGCCACCTCAGCCATCTGGTGGTACCTGATCAGATATGCTGGGTGGAACCACCTGTTGAGGATGCCAAGGGCAGAAATGAGGCTGCCAAGTGGCCCTGGAGAGCCTCTGCTGGGGAACATGACTAGGAACATGTGGCGGTGTAGGGGAGAAGCTCGCGGCACCATCTGGGACAAGGACACTCACCTCCGTCCGTGAAGAGGACGGCAAGGAGGGCAGGAGATCGTCCACACTCCCGATGAGCTTCCGCAGGGTCAGCCCCACATTCTGGGGGGAGAAACAGGCAGGTGACTGTCACCTCTTGCTTTTTGAGAAAGCCACATTTCCCTTGGAGAGAGGCCTCCTGGGATGGTGCCTGCCCTCTGATGCTGCCTGGGACCAAACTCCCCGGGACCTCCCTGCTCTAATGGGGTCTACTGGACTGGCCCGTGTGGAACTGCCACACCCCTTCCTTCCAGGCTGGGTGGGCTGCCTCCGTCCCCCCATCCCCAGCAGCTGCCCAGTCCCACCTTCACCACCACCACGTAGCCCTCGGGGGGCAGCTGGCTGAGCTCGTTCTTGAGGTCCAGCACGGCTCGCACCAGCTCCATGACGTTGAGGTACACCTGGTCATCCGTCCGGTCCAGGTTGGCCGTGGGCTGGATGGACTGAGGGGGACAGGTTAGGGGACACTACCATCACTGCTGTTCTTTCCTGGACGGCTATGACTGGTGCCAGCTCAGACACCCACCAGCCTAATTTGAAAGGACAGCAGTGCCCCACTTCAGAACAGCAGTGCCCCATCCAGGGTAGTGTTCCTCCAGCCAGAAGCCTGAACCAAAAACTAGCAGTGGCCACGCACCAGGGCATGGTGCTGCTCAGGTGACTGTCGTGGACAGCCAAAGTTGAGAGCCACTGTTCCTGAGCAGAGAACACCAGCTCCCAACCGAGGCTGCTGGCAGGACAATGGGGGTGCTAGAATCCAACAGGGGAGGCTCAGTGAGGAAGGGGACCCGCACCTCCTGCCCCTGGGGCTGCACCAGTGAGCTTTCCTCCAGGTCGGGGAGGGGGACACAGGAGACAGGAGACTGGCTATTCCCTCGCTCCTTCATGGATTAGCTGTGTGGCCTCAGGCCAGGCTCATCCCCTCTCTGAGCCTCATCTATAGAATGGGGATACTGGATTGAATTGTATCTGAGGAACTTCGAAGTTTTCGTAGTGGGCATCAGTCTTGTGACTCAAATTCATTATCTGCATTGGCAGAGGCAACACATACCTGCGCGCCCAGCCGCGGTGGCTTCTGTGGGGGCCCCGTGAACTCCACTGCAAGGAGAATGGACAGTGAGTGGGGCCGTTCTCACACCCCGGCCCTGCCCTTCCTTACCTGCCGATAACCAAATCCCCTCTCCTCCACACCGGGGAAATTAAAACCAAATTCCTGGAAGATGGCAGGAATCTGGTTTTCCCACAGTCAGGGGCAAGTGCAGTTGTCCATTTTACAGAAAGAGGAAACCAGAGTCGCAGCAGAGACAAGGGGGTTGCCATGGGTGTGCCAGATTGAGCTGCATTTCCTCCCCTGACGGACATCAGGTCCTGGGGGACACGCACATGCTGGCCTCTACCACCCATGAGGAAGAAACCTCACCCTCCGAAAGCAGCAGGTGTCTGTGGCACCCCGCCCCCGTGTGACAGCAGCTCGTGTGGTGCACGTGGGAGGACAGGATGGTTTGCCTTGAGAGCCAAGCTATTCACTCTCACTTTGACAAGCAAAGACACACACAGCCCTGCAGAGCTGCTGGAAGAGCACGCCATACAGTGGAAGTCACAACACCTGGTCTACTCTCCCCTCTGCAACCATGAGCTCTGTCCCCCAGGCAGCTCACTGACACCCCCTGGGCCTTAATTTTCATCTCTGCAATGAGGGGCTGGCTCAGAAGGGATCCTGGAGCCAGACTGCATGGGTTCCAATCTGAGCTCTGCTAGTTATTAGCTGTGTGACTTTGGGCAAGTTATTTAACCATCCTGTGCCTCGGTTTCATCCCCTGTAAAAAGGAAATAATCATAAACTGTACGTGTCTCACAAGTTGCTGTGAGGCTAAACGAGTTACCATTTATAAGTGACTTTGGCCTGTGCCTGGTCGTGTTCTCTGTTGTGTTGTCATCGACCCTGTCGCCATCACAACCATCAGCCCCACCCCTCTCCCCTTTCTGCCTTCAGCATCTGGAGAGACATCCAGGCTCAGCCACCCCTCCCACTCTCTCTCTTCCATCCCTCGGGCCTGGAGAAGATGTGGACATGCTGGGAGAGGCAGGGGGCTGCCTGATTTCCCCCACGAGGAGTCGCCATCAGAGTGCGCCAGAAACAGAATGGAAGAGAGAGTCGCCAGCTCCTCGCACAAATGCAGGGGGAGGTGGGCTGAGGACAGGGGCAGCTGGGAAGGGAGCGAGTGGGTCTCCACACCAGAGCCGACCCTCTACCCACATGCTGAGTGAAAAGGAGGCACATGTTTCTTCAAATTGCAGACAGATGCTGTTCTCTGCCCTGGGCTGCATAAGACACCAGGCGGTAGCCCCCCGTAGGAAGGGCAAAGTTGAGTGAAAAGGAGGCACATGTTTCTTCAAATTGCAGACAGATGCTGTTCTCTGCCCTGGGCCGCATAAGACACCAGGCGGTAGCCCCCCGTAGGAAGGGCAAAGACACTTACTGTAGCCGGCCTCCTTCTCGGGGGTCTGGAGGAAGGGAGGAAAGAACATGTCACTCATGTGGCTCTGGGATGACCCGCTTCCCCTTTACCTGTCCCCACACCCTCCGCTGTGTGTTTAGAGATTATAGCCATGGGGGGTGGGAGTGAGGGTGGCCTGGGAGATCTTGATCAAAGCAACCCTCCCGGGAGGCTGAGGAGCCCTGCGGCAGGCCACGCCGCGCTGAGGGTGTAGATCCCAGGAGAGCTCAGGGAAGAGAGGGGTGGGAGTGAGGGTGGCCTGGGAGATCTTGATCAAAGCAACCCTCCCGGGAGGCTGAGGGGCCCTGCGGCAGGCCACGCCGCGCTGAGGGTGTAGATCCCAGGAGAGCTCAGGGAAGAGCGCATGGACATCGGCACACAAGGAAGGAAGAGGTGACGGGCCCGGGGGCTGCAGCAGGGGCCGGGGTGTGTGAGACCCTCCCAGGCCTTGGCTGTGGGGGGGGAGACCTCCCCCTAGTGAGGTGACTTACCAGCGGGGACTTATCATTCATGTAAACCATGGGGTCCTGCAGAGGAGGAAACCAAAGCAAAGGACTCAGGATTCCAGAATGGGAAGAATGCATGGACGGCATTTACTCCAGTTGCTGGGGACATGGATGGCCATGTGGCACAGAAGTCCCTCCTGGGCCCTGCACTGGCTCACCAGGGCTTTCTCCTCCTGCCGCAGCCACCGGTAGTCCTCTGCCATCTGCCTCTGCTGCTTGTTCAGCGTCTGCCGCATCTTCACCCTCTCAGCCTCCCACAGCTGCTGGGCCTCCTCTCGACTGCTGGGCCGGACAAAGTCCTCCTCCTGAGAGGACAGCGGAAGGAAAGGAGAGGACACCATGAGCCCCACCCTTAGCCGCAGGTGAGGGACAATCTTCAGGAGAGCCTGGCGGGAGCCTCAAGCTTGGCCTCACCAGCTACGTTTTTCTTGGAAGTTGGTTCTAAAACCTGCGGCCATGCATGCAGCCAGTTTTGGTTGGCTGTCAGCATCGAGCGCGTGCCTGTGATGCCCAAGCCCAGAACTCATTGCTCACGTGCACTCAGTCACACTGTCACGTGATCCCCAATATTATTTCCTTAGTTGACATTGGTGACGGTTGCTGTCACTGAATAGACTGAGAAATGCAGAGCCAACCCTCTGGAAACCCAGTGGTGGCAGGTCTGGCAGCTTTGAAGGTCTGTGCTGCTGCCACGAGCCCCCTTGTGTGCGGTTCCATGTGACTGTCCGTGGCTGAGCAGAGGGAAGGGGCAACAGCGCCCACCACCTGCCAGGCCTTTCTACTGAAACGTTGTCTTTACTAAGATAATAGCAGGGGCAATTTAACCAAAGGTTAGAAGAAGTGCACAAGACTTCCAGTCAAGATGGCAGGGTAGATGGTCCCCAGCATCACTCTCTCCCACAAATCAACCAATTTACAACTATAAAAAAGCAACAATAGCCAAGCTGGGGCTGCTAGAGCTCAGGCAAAGAGGAGGAGAGACCTATGGAGTGCATGAAGACTGGAAAAGCTACCATGAGAGAAAGAAAAACCCCCTCCAGCCACTGTGAATCCTGGCTGCTTCCAGGCTGGAGCTGCTGAGCGCATGGATCAGGAGCTGGCAAAAGCTGCAGCTGTGCTCTTCAGATGGAGTTGCTTGGAGGCAGCAGGGGAGAAGAGGGCCTTGGTGGCCCCCAGGCCAACAAGACCATTAATAGGGTTCCCATGGACCCACATAGGACCGAGGAGCCACTCAGAGGCCAGGGAGTCATCTCAAGGGACCAGAGCACAGTTCATCCCATGGGAAGCATCTGGAGTATGGGCAGTGGGGGAGATGGGCCCACTGGGGGAACACTGGGGCACAGCAAGGACAGCTGATCTGCCCCCCAATCAGCATAGGACCACTCAGAGGAGACTGGTCAGGAATATAGAACTGCAGGGGGTGCAGTTTGATGAAAAGACTCAGTCCCAGACCAGTGTTTCTACATAACCCAGGTGCACCAGATTTCACTAGAACTGGAAGTACCTATAAAGTCAATCACTAAAACCTGAGCTGCACGAAAAGCCTTCCCTAGGGAATCAGGAGCAAAGCAGCAATTTAGCTCAACCACAGAACTCAAGTACTGGTCCCCACAGGAAATTCCCCCATTTTAGAAGTAAGCAAAGGACAAAAAATTAGTTCCAGTGCAGAGTTTGAGTGGTGGGAACAGCAAATAATCCAACACAGAACTGAAAGAAAAAACAAAGTACCCACATCCGGAGACAAAGTTTGATATTAACTAAAGGTCTCATTTCACCAAAGAACACCTATAACACCTAGAAGGACTGGAAGTCCCCTGGGCTACCAAGCCAGAAAGTGGGGAAGGCCAGGGGCCTCAGCCATGCCCCCCAACACCCACAACCAGTCCTGAGGGTGGGAGCTGAGGGCCTCAGCCATAACCTCTGATAAGTGCAACCACCCCAGCAATGACCACTGAGCTGCCATAGGAATTGTCCTGGGCTCTCCCAAGCCAGGGCAGTGTGGGGCCTTGGGTCCCCCAACACCAGCAACCAGCCCAGTGACAACCACCAAGCCACAGCAAGAAGGGCTCTGGGTTCCCGAGCCGGGGTGGTGGGAGATGAGGGCTTTTGCCACACCCCCCTGACATCTGTACCCAGCCTGGCAATGAGCAAGCCACTGCTGGAAGCCCCCCTGTCTCCCCTGTGGGAATGTGGGGGGTGCCACAGCCTCAGTCCTGCCCCTCTTCCCTCCTCCTCCTTCCATCCCTTTCCTTTCCCTTTCCCATCTCCCTCTCCCTCCCAACTGCTCTAACAACATCATAGAATGTAAAAAAATAATATTAATAAAATGAAAAAAGAGAAGTGCATGAGGTAGGAGAGCAAATGAGGAACAGAATTTAAGAAACACAGCTCTGTGGATATAAGACAAACGCTTCCGCTCCCTAGCTTTACTTGTCTAACCCTTGTTGTAACTCACCTGTGGGGCTTTGGACCTATTCACACTTTTATCTGCTGGTTCCTAAATGGAAGGTGTTATGCATTTTCCCATTTCCCCCCAATCCTCCCCAGAGTTTGTTGTAGAATTATCTGCTCAGTCCCTCCAAACTATTTTGCCTTTTTTCTGCTGCACATGGTCACCTCGGCCTCCTGGACCAGTGGAGGAAGAGTGTGATTGACATCCTCTTGATTGCATAAAACCCAGGGGTTGCCTTTGCCATAGAAGGGGCAGGATCCTTCTATGACACCCAAGCCAGCAGGTCCCTCAGCTCCTTTCGATGGAAGTGGCCAGATTACATACAAGTCATTTGCAGAAAATGCTAAAAATGATCTCCATCTACTTTTAGCAAGCCATAATCCCTGCCAAGTCTCTTAAAAGAGTTTTCCTACTAAATCGTATAAGACACACTGGGATATTACAGTACAGTTTTAAAATAGTTATATCGGGATGTTTTTTTCTTAGTGCTCAGTGAGCCTCAATTACCAATCTAAATTTCTTTTCTTTTTCTTTTTATTTTTTA